GTCCACAGATGTCAGTACCTACAGATGCAGAGACTCAGAAACAAGGGGCCGGTGCTGTGGCGTGGTGGGTTAAGCTTCTGCCTGAAGCACCAGTATCTCATACAGGTGCCTGTTTGTGTCCCGGCTGCTCCATTTCCGATCCATCTCTCTGCTATGGCCTGGGAAAGCAGTAGAAGATGGCCCAAGTCCTTGGCCCCTGCTTCTGGCTCCTAGCTTCGGATTGGCTCAGCTCTGGCCATTTGGAGAGTGAACCAATGGATGGAGGACTTCTCTCTTTCTCTCTCTCTCTCTCTCTCTCTCTCTCTAAATGTGCCTCTCCAATAAATAAATAAAATCTTTAAAAAAAAAAAAAAGGACTCAGAAACAATTCTAGGCCAGGGACTAAAGTGACTTGTCAGTTGAATGCCACACATGATCTTGAATTTTGCTTTGCCATAAAGAATTTTCTTGGGATAACTGAGAAAAACTTCAGTTAAGTTTTAGGATTAGGGAATGGTATTGTTTCAGTGTTGGGGTAGGAGCAAATGTAGTAAAATGTTAGCATTGGGGAAATCCAGATAAATGTTACCCAGGCTTTTTGTACTTTTATGGCAACTTTTTTCCCTTTTAAAATTATTGTTTAAATTGTATCTGTTTATTGGGTACACTGGGGTACTTTGATACATATATCCAAATCAGGTTTGTTAGTGTTTCCTTTGCTTTAAACATCTTATGTATTTACTTACCTACTTACCTACCTAAGAGGGAAAGAGAGGGACCCTGCACCCACATGGGAGACCAGGAGGAAGCACTTGGCTCCTGGCTTCAGATCGGCGTAGCGTGCCAGCCGTAGCGGCCATTTGGGGGGTGAACTAACGGAAGGAAGACCTTTCTCTCTCTCACTGTCTTTAACTCTACCTGTCAAATAAAATAAAATAAAAAGAGGGAAAGAGAGATTTCTCATACATTGGCTCACTGCTCAAATGCCTGCAACAGTGGGGTGTTGGCCGGGTGGAAGCTGGGAACTGGCGACTCAATCCAGGTCTCCCACGTGGGTGGCAGAGACCTAACACCGGAGCATTCTCCACTGCCCTCTGGAATCCTTCACGCATGACAGAGAACCTGGGGTATTTGTCTGTGTCTGGCTTATTTCACTTTACATGAGGTCCTCCAGTCCCATCCATGTTGTGGCGGATGATGGAATATTGTTCTTTTGTATGGTTGAACGATATCCCACTGTGTGCATGTATCAGCCATTAATAGGCATCTAGCTGATTCCGTATCTTGGCTGTTGTGAATACTGCAGAAGTAAACGTGGGTGTGCAGGCATCTCTTAGACATGCTGATTCCCTTTCCTTTGAAAGGAAATCCTCAAGTGGGATAGCTGGATCGTATGATAGATCTGTTCTTAGTTTTTTACAAATGCTAAATATTTTTTAATTTTTTTATTTGACAGATAGAGTTAGACAGCGAGAGAGAGAAACAGAGAGAAAGTTCTTCCTTCCGTTGGTTCACCACCCAAATGGCCGCTACAGCCTGCGCTACGCCGATCCGAAGCCAGGAGCCAGGTGCTTCCTCCTGGTCTCCCATGCGGGTGCAGGGCCCAAGCACTTGGGCCATCCTCCACTGCCCTCCCGGGCCACAGCAGAGAGCTGGACTAGATGAGGAGCAGCCGGGCCTAGAACCCAGTGCCCATATGGGATGTCGGCACTGCAGGTGGAGGATTAGCCAAGTGAGCCACGGCGCCAGCCACAAATACTAAATTTTTACAAATTTACACAATATTCGTTGTTCCACTTTACTGGCAGGATACAAGTGCTCACTGTAATACTCCTCAAACTATTTTGTATCTTGAAATATTATCGGGGCCAGCACTGTGGCTCACTTGGTTAATCCTCCGCCTGCAGCACCGGCATCCCATGTGGGTGCCAGTTCTAGTCCTGGCTGCTCCTCTTCCAGTCCAGCTCTCTGCTGTGGCCCGGGAGTACAGTGGAGGATGGCGCCAGTGCTTGGGCCCCTGCACCCTCATGGGAGCCCAGGAAGAAGCATCTGGCTCTTGGCTTCGGATCAGCACAGTTCCGGCCATAGTGGCCATTTGGTGGGTGAACCAACAGAAGGAAGACCTTTTTCTCTGTCTCTCTTTCTTACTGGCTATAACTCTACCTGTCAAATAAATTTTTAAAAAAAGAAATATTATCTTAGTTAAAAGGGGAGAAACATTTTTTAAGCGTTATAGCCTAATGTTTTTTGTGTAATGTATGAGACTTGGACATCATTTGTGAGCGGTATCCTTGATTTGAGTTAAAACTTGAGTAAAAATGCCTTGATTATGAGTAAAATCACTTGAGAAAGTGTTTGAAAATATGAAGTTAGCTTTTTTTTTTTAAAGATTTACTTTTTATTTATTTGAAAGAGTTATGGAGTGAGAGAGAGAGAGGTCTTCCATCTACTGGTTCACTCCCCACCTCTTCCAGGTCCTCACATGGGTGTGCCAGGGCCCAGGGACTTCGGCTGTCTTCTGCTGCTTTCCCATGTGCATTAGCAGGGAGCTGGATTGGAAGTGGAACAGCTGGGACTGAAACCAGGGCCCATATGGGATGCCAGCACTGCAGGCTTTAACCTGTTGCTCCCCAGTGCTGGCCCTGAAATCAACTTTTGTTCTCACTGATAGAGCCTGTGGCCCGGCATGGCGTCCCACACATCTTCCAGTCTGGCGCTTGCGGAGTCCTGCCCTGGGTCAGGTGCTTCTTCCTTCCCTGCCTTAACAGAGGTACAGCACAGCCTCTCCTCTCCTCTGGAAGACCTGATTCACATGTCCGCTGTCATTTGAAGTGAATTAACAAGTCCAGTTTGCTAACGTTTGTAGAGATTAAAGAAGGATTTGTTTCCCCTAGTGTGTGTTTTCGTACACACTGTATTTCAAGAATCTGCCATTGTTCAAAATGTGATCTTGAATTTGTTGCTTCTGAATTATACTCTACCTCCTTTTTACAAAGAATGTGTCGTTTTAAAAGTTAATTATTTTATTTGAGAAGCATCACTGGTCCACTCCCCAAGTACCTGTAAGGGCTGGAGCTGGGTTGGGTTGAGACCAGGAACTCAAACCAGGTCTCCCCTATGGCCCAATTATTTGTGTCTGCATTAGGAAGCTGCAGGCAGGAGCTGAGCCAGGAAATAAACCCAGGCACTCTGATGTGGGATGCGGATTTCTTAACCAGCATCCTAACTGCTTGGCCAATTGCCCAGCCCAGATCTGGGCCTTTAAAATGTATGTCTGGCCGGCGCCGCGGCTTACTAGGCTAATCCTCCGCCTTGCGGCGCCGGCACACCGGGTTCTAGTCCCGGTCAGGGCGCTGGATTCTGTCCCGGTTGCCCCTCTTCCAGGTCAGCTCTCTGCTGTGGCCCGGGAGTGCAGTGGAGGATGGCCCAAGTGCTTGGGCCCTGCACACCATGGGAGACCAGGGTAAGTACCTGGCTCCTGCCATCGGATCAGCGTGGTGCACCGGCTGCAGCGCACTGGCCACGGCGGCCATTGGAGGGTGAACCAGCGGCAAAGGAAGACCTTTCTCTCTGTCTCTCTCTGTCTCTCTCTCTCTCTCACTGTCCACTCTGCTTTAAAAAAAAAAAAAAAGTATGTCTGATAAAATAAAGCGATCACTTTCAAGTTCCAGAAATTTAACCAGAGAATGCCTATGTCCCTGTGTTTTCATTTTCTAATAAAGTCTTTGTTGGATTCTGTTTTTCTACCTGCAGGCATTTCTGTATGATCCTATGGGAGTCTTTATGAGGTAGCCTTTCAGCTGCCTATCAGAGGCCTCAGCTCTGGGCGTTCAAAGCTGCATGAGGCATAGGCCCTGAACTTGTGCAGAGAAGTCTTTTAGTATGATCTTGCCTCTGCTAAAGTCTCCCCTCCTGGTTGACTGGGGGAGGTGAATTGCCAGAGAGACAGCATAGGTGCAACACAGAGCTTTGAGGAGCGAGCAGACCCAGCACGGTGGAGCTGAGAGGTTCCTGAATGAGCTGTGATTCTCCAAGATACCAGCGCTTGGGGCCACCTCTTAGAGGGTTGGACGGAAGCACCTGCCAGTCTCACCATTACAGGCAAAAGCAAATAGTATGGAGGAATTGGTATTGAGATTTGCAGTTCAGCTGTAGAATCTTTTCTTCAGCCACACAGCAAGCTATTGTTAGTCCTTAGCGGTCTCTCTCTCTCTTTTTTTTTTTTTTCCATGCCTTATTCTAGCAGTTCAAATGGATCTTCACAAATTTAAGAAAGTGCAGATTTAGGGTGAGAGCGGGATTTTATTTTATTTTATTTTTTAGAATGCAGGTTGATAAAGAGAAAATGCAATTGGTTGTTAGCAAAGAAGGAACAGATGAACTCAGCTCAACCCAGGCAGCGGCGGCTGTAACTGTGGGAACACAGGCTCTCCTTGCCTGCTCGGTGGTGTTGTCAGGCGTCAGCGGCAGTCCCACTTGTCCCTGCTGCTCCAGCAGCTCGCCCACAGGAAATCTCTCTTCTGAGGCTGTTTGTTGGGCAATCTTTCACCAGGGCAACTCCTCCACTCGTGCCCCACCTTTTGACAGGTGTACCCGCTGAAGGCTTGGCTTGTATTGTCCTGTGCTGTTGCTAAGAAACCTCCAGGAAGCTACCATTCCTTGTTGCTCCCTAGGGACAGCTTGACAGGTCCCGTTCCCGATGACTGCTGGGCTCCCCTTTGCTCCACCGCATTGGTCAGGGCATTCTTGTTCCCAACAGGTGTTTCTCATTGCCCCGCCCCACCCCGCCCCTCCTTGGGGAACACCCCCTTCCAGGTCCTCCCTGAGTGATGCTGGGCCAATGACACTGTGTGAGCTGCTGCTCCACTCCAGCTGAGCCAGGGGCAGGTGCACGGCCCCGGGGCTGGGCCCAGCGTCAGCCCTGTGGGCCCCTGGCCCCAATGGCTCCTGGGGACAGGCAGCCAAGAGCTTCCCGAAGGATGACCCCATAAGATGATGTTTTCGCTTTGGGACGACTTCAGCAATGTCCCTGGGAGACGCAGGAGGGGAAGAGGAGTGTTTTGAATATGATGGCCAGGATGAAGAGAGGAGACCCACCAGCAAGCAGCCATGCGTCGACACTCTGGACTTCTTGGAGGAGGGTAAATTCTGTCCTTTGCTCGCATCTGATCCCTTTCTGTTTGTGTCTAAACCGGCTGGGCTGCTATGATTTCACAACGCGTGTGTCTGGTATTTCCATCTGAGATATAGCTTGGAGTACAGGGCCCTTATGCGAATGGCTCACTGATGCCCCTATGAGACCCCCCACCCCCACCCCAGCCTGAGGAGCAGCCGTTTCTGGTTTACGTCTGCCTCCCCAGAAGCCATTGTCCCAACTTGCTCTGCCACTTCCTGATCCGTGCAAGCCAAAGCAGAGTGTGTGGTTACAGCGTGTCTGGCCTCTGGAATCCATCCATGCTGTTGCAAATACTGGTAGTTTCTCTTCTCCGTTGTGCCATTCTAGCACTCAGTTTTCAGGTTGTCAGTTATTCTCATGATGATTTCATAGACAAGAGATCCAGTGGTGGTTAAATGAAGCGTGCTTTTGCGCCAGCAGTGTCTACTTAAACAAATATTAATGACTGCTTTGAAATAGGGTTGAAAAAAAAAACAAAAACTTGGGATGCTTTCAAAGAGGTTGAAATCATGGGGCACCTCCGAGGGCTTCTCTGGGAGGAAGCGTGTGGGTGTCAGACAAGGGGGTGTCCACATGCAGGTGTGAGTTTCCTGGTCCGGCTCCTGGGGCTGTCACCCACAGGCCTGAGAAAGGGGAACTTGGTGAGGAGAAGCCGTTTAAGCAGTGACCCCTTGGTGTCTTGAGTCAAAACAGTCAGAATGCGTTTTCAGACTTCTGAAGGGTCTGTTTTCACGTCTCAGGATGCTGTTAATTTCCAAAACGGTTTGTAACCCGTGGTTTTCTTTTGAGGTTACTGGCCTGAAAATATGAGCTTCACCTCCAGGACAGATAAGACTGTCTTGTTACAGAACGGAGGGACAGTGGGACAGGCCACAAGAGAGCCAGTGCTTCCTTGCTGGTGTCCCTGGGGTGAAGGGAAGAGGAAGGAGTGACAGCCTGACAGTGGTGTCCTTGCTGGGTCCCTGGAAGCGATCAACAGAGAGAGAGAGAGAGAGAGAGAGAGAGAGAGAGAGATGCACCCATCTGCTCTTGTAGGACTGGGGCCAGCCCAGATTTAACTGGATCAGCTTCTCCACGCAGCCCCAAGTGGGACCTGCTCTAGTGCCACCTGTCAATTTGCTAGAGACACAGAAGCCCCAGTCTGCGTTTAGCGAGTGGTGGGCATGCACGTGCAGGCGTGAGAGGAGCCGTGCCACAAGGCATACGCAGCAAGGCATTTTAAAGCCAGTAATTCCAAAGACTGTTTGAGAGTCTGGAACTCGGCCATGTATCCTAGTCGAGGGAAGGAAACATTTTTGTTGTATACATTTCCCATATGCGCACATATGTATAAACGTACACACTGTCTCTCCATATAGCTCTCTGTGTAAAAACTTTTTTTTTTGGTTGAGAGTCAGGTGGTGATGATGATGGTGATGATGATGATGAGGGTCACTGTGCACCTGCTGTGTGCCAGGCCCCATTTTAACTAATTAATGTGGATTCATGCCCTGAGCCCATAAAACCACCATAGGAGCTTTCATACTTTTAGACTTCCTATTTTATAGGCTTGCAGGAGGAAGCTAAAATAGCTCGTCCAGGATGTCATGGAGCTAGGGGGCGGTTCCAGGCTGTGTGGAGAGCCCTGTGCTCTTAACCATGGTGCTCACTCTTCTCGAAGCAGGGTCCCCGGCCCACAACATCAGCATCACCCGGGAACCAGAGAGAAAATGCCTGTTCTTGGGCCCCACCCCGGACCAGCTGGATCAGAAACCGTAGGGCAGGGCCCAGGGATCTGGGTTGCACACACGCCCTCCGTGTGACACCGGCACACACTGTCTGGTGCTCAGCCATATCTCGCAAAGACCAGCGTGTCTGCCTTGCAGGAGAATTCGTGGATGGGAGATGTTGTGCGGGGTTTACCATCTGGTGATGGACAGCTACACTTCTTCCTCCTCTTATTTGCTCCCATCCACTTCCCACCCTCTCTCCAGTAAAATATTCTTAGCCATGCAGTCAATGGAGCGCTAACAGTGATTGCCACCCCACTTCGTTCTTTCTGTAAAATAAAATGAACTCATTTTGGAGCCTGTCTCCCATTTTGTCATCAAAGCACCTGAGGCTCAACTAAGTTGGCTGTGGCCAGAGTTTTCTAGCTGTGAGCACAGAGCAGGGCCCTCACCCTGGTTTAGGGGTCTGCCTTCCACCACACCCTGATGATAAGCAGAGTTCTAGGCCCTTCCCTAGTAGGAACTCATTTAATCCTCTTTACCCACAAGGTGGGTGCTTGCCAGGGACTGGGCACAGGGAGAGGTGGCCATGCTCTGACTGTGTTCACAAGGACAGGCAGGATTTGGGCTCAGTGTCTGCTGGTCACAGATAACTTGTCCAGTGCTAGGGACGGCTTAATCCCAAGTGCTGAGCGAGCAGTGCTCTCGGAGTGGAGGGCTGTGTTTGCTTTAGCCAGCACCCTACACCGGAAGGTCAGACAGGCTGACATTGCCAAGGGAGTCGCTGCCACACCTGTCTGTGCCTGAGTCCCAGCACCAGCATGAGGAACAGGTGGGGAAAAGTGGAATTTCACTGCCAGTTCCTTGTGGTTTGTTGCACAAGACAAATTCCAATCTTTTTTTTTTTTTTTTTAATATTTTACTGATTTATTTATTTCAAAGGCAGTGACGGCAGACATGGCGGGGGGGATCTTCCATCTGTTGGTTCACTCCCTTACATGGCCACAACAGTCAGGACTGGTCCAGGGTGAAGCCAGGAGCCAGAAACTCCATCTGGGTCTCCCACATGAGCGGCAGGAGCCCAAGCACTTGGGCCGTCCTCTGCTGCCTTCCCAGGTGCGTTAGCAGGGAGCTGGGTCATTAAAGGAGCAGCTGGGACTTGAACCTGTACTTACAGGTGGTGCCGGTGTCTCAAGCAGTAACTTAGCCCTCTGGAGATGCCTAAGGGAAGGAGGCGGGGCTGGCTTCCTCATTTCTTCTCACCTGGGCACTCCTGAGGCGCTCACCCTGTGTTGAGAAGAGTCGATATATGTCTGGCTGGTGTCATTTAGGGTGGCTCAGGAGGCAGCAGGATTGGAAGACCTCTGGAGTCTGCTGAGCATCCCCTGTAGGGTCCCTGAGACCTCAGGCCTTAAGAGCAGGCCCATCCCCTCTCTTTAGTGCTGAGTGTATGTAGTAGATGAGTACACAACATTGGTCCTTTTTGCACAAAGGGCAGTTCCCAGGTGTTGAGTGCTAACCAGAGCTGACAGTCTGGAAAAACAGACAAACACAATGCCACTTGGGGCAGGGAACCCACAGCCTGATGGAGTGCCCCGTCCCGGCCTCCTGTGTCCAGTGGCGACCATCCCCATTCTCTAATTGTTTCCAAGGCAAGCTGGGGAAGCCACACTGCGCAGACACAGCACCGTTCTCCAGCTGGCCAGGGCCCTCCTGGGCTGCAGGGCTGGGCCGGCCCATGGAGAGCAGCTACATCCCTGGGCACTGAGTCCGGAGCTGGCTGAGATGCCTCAGGTCTGTGCAGGCTGTGGAGTGGACATGCCAGCCCCAGGGAAGAGGCCTGGGGTCTCTTGTTAACATAGGTGGCCAGTGGCACTCAAGGGCGCTTGCCCAACTTTCTCGTAGAGTCAAGGATGGCAGAGGAGTCGAGCCGGCTTATCAGTGCCAACCACAGGCACGGTGACAAAGGTCCCTTGGCTGGTAGTTTTGTTGTACCTGTTTGGTTCTCGGCGTATCCATGGCTACCATCTGCAGCTGGTTTTCCTATCTAGAACGGGAGCACCAGCTTCACCCCAAGACTGCCTAAGGGCAAAGCTCCCCCATGATCCCTGTGTCTTGGGGTCCTATCCCCTGTCCCTCTGCCACCCTAGACCTGAACTCCTCAGCAACGGCAAGCAGCATCTCTCCCCTAGCTCCTCTTGCTTCTCTGTCTTAAGCTAATTTATTCACCTGCTCTTCTAGGTCAAGAGAGCCTTGAGAGTAGGGTTCATTTATTTACCCAATAGGTATCTTCGGGAGTCCCCACTTGGGGGGTCAGCAGATCAGGCCCTCCCACCAGAGCTCTGTGACCTTGGGCTCTGTCTTCCTGTCTCAGATGGGACAGCAGAGAATGCAGGATGGATGGAAACACTGAAGGAGATGGGACAGGGTCGGCATTCAGCAGTGAGTCAGTCCCTCTAGGCCTGGTGATAGATACATGGACACCAGAGACCCACGCTGGGTGTTCCAGTCTGAAGCTGGGAAATTGACTGCAGTGTGCAAGTCCAAGTTCCCGTCCAAGTCCACAGTTCTGCCCCACCTGACCTTGGCCTCTCTCCTGTCTCGTTTGTTCAGTGGGGTTGTTCTGAATTTTCAGTGAAAGAACACTCATGTGTGTAGTCAGGTGCCCAGGGCAGCAGTTGGCGTGCTGTGGTCACCCTAACAGTCATTTCATGTTTTCTCTGCCTTGTCAAGAAGTTGCACTGGTGCCAAGCTCTCAGCCTACTGAGGCACGGGAGAGTGAGCCAGAGAAATAGTTGAGCTGAGCGCGGTCCTACTGAACAGTGGAATGAAGCCAGAGCTGCACCGTGTGGGGCTCTGTTGTCGGCGAGGGGCACTTCGCTCCCGCCCGTCCGCGGAGAGGCTGGGCGCTGCGTGGACACGGGTTATGGCCAGGCAGACTGCTCTTTGTGCTGGACTTTGTGCTGAGCTGCCCCCACCACTGACCCAGAGACCTTCCAGTGTGTTTTCACCCAAGAGCCATGAGACACAAGGGCTTCTCATGGAAGAGTGGGAGCCCTCGGCCTGTTGGCTTCTGGCCTGAGACCATGGCTGCCTCCGTGAAGGTGTCTTCCCTGGCAACTTCCTGTGTGTCGCGTTGGACCTGAGCTCTCCTTCCCCATTCCAGATGTGATTTCTCCTTTGCATTCAGCCTTGGGTCAGGGAGGGGACTGTCCAGGAGCAAGATGGATGCTTATCTTGAGACAATAAGATAGGG